ACCCTGCAAAATGTGTCAACACAAACAAACAGATGGCAAGATAAGCCAAAGCCATATTGTTTTCCCCATTTTTTTTTCTTTTCCTTTAACGTTCCTCTTATAAAAGGTTTCCCTCCCCTAAATACAGCTGATGTTTGTATGTTTTTATATGTGATGTAGCCCAAATCCATGTGTCATAATTCTGTTTTAATGCAATCAAAACTCATATTTCATCTCAGCTTGCCAATATGATCTTCTATTGGGGTCAATCTGAGGTAGAAATCAGCAGCTGAGTGATCAACACAACCATATAAATTAGATATTCTCGGCTAATGCTAATGCTACCCCTCCCTCTAGCTGATCTGACTATTGGCTGTTTCTAAAGAGCAGATAAACACCATTGATTTAGCTGGTGTAAATGCCATACTGCCCATCAGCACACTTGTTAAAGGAAGCGCCGCTAATCGGAAGACGAGCACTCATTTTTTATTATATATATATATATATACATTTTTTTTTTTGCAGTTAGCATGGTGACGGGTGTGTGGGACAAGACATTGTGATGGATGTAGGCAGGTGAGCTTCCTAATATCTCTATTCATGCTATTAAGCCACAATCACTTGGTCTGAATAATGGAGAATGGGACAAGTGGAAACTCTCTCACACTCCCCCTTTATCAGGCTCATAATCAGGACAAATGTAGGCCAATGTCTGTATGAAGTATGCAGTGAATATGTCTTTCTGTTAAACTGACATTTCTGCTATCGGAGATGCTTAATGATTCAAATGACCAATGTGTCATTCTTCCATTGTTGAGGTGTAGTTTATTTTTTTTATTGGCCTCTGATTGTCTTTACCTGATGAGCTGCAGTAAAACACTGATGGTGCAGTAGATGTGACGATAAGACACAACAAAGGCAAAGCAGCATATGGATGGGACGGTGGAAATTCAGAACAGGTCAGCGATTTGAGAATTTTACCAAGTGTATGAGAGGTCAAAGAGGGTTTTTAAAGAACTTTCTACAGTTCATTTTGTGATGTGGCTCATTTTGGGAAGTCCAAATGATTTTTTGATCCTTTGCTAACATAGCTAACCAAAACAATCACCTATTTTAAAGACAAAATACTCATTTTCTCTGTATGATTTTCACTTGCACAGTGCATTGGATTTCTACACAGACCTGAACAACTGACTTTTCTTTTTCCCCCCTTTCCCTCCTCATCTGTCTCTCAAATTTAATTTCACCCCCAAGACTTCATCCCTGGTTAAATGTCTGTATAATTAGTGCAGGCTTTTAAATAGTAATGCCCGCCATGAGAGAATATTTCAATATTTCAGATAGAGTTCTAATTAACTTTAGCATCAAACTGAAAGTGGCTAATTGTTTCATGCTACCTAAGCAGGTAGCATGCGGCGCAGCTCCGCAGACACAAGAGCTTGACTGTCGCCTTCATGCTTTCTTCTTTCCAAATTTAGCCTCTTCTGTTAATGCATGAAACATCAGTCTACCTCCACCCCTTCAGTTCTATCCCCTCCTCTCAGCACCCCCTCTTAATTAACCTTCTTGCGGTTTTGCCACTGAAATTAAAAGCTGGAGAGGAGAGAAGTAAAAAGGCATCTAATTAATTGCACCGTAAAATGGTGGAAATTAATCAGAACTGGAGGTGCAGGATTACATTAGTTAATCAAAGAATGGCTTTTAACCCCAGGAACAGAGACAGAACTTTACACTCTTTTTGAGAGAGATGGGAAAACAAAGCCGCAGAACACTTATCTCTCTCATAGTGAAATTAATACGTGGTAATAGGCGGCGAAACGTGTGGCCGTGCTGGTCCTCAATTATTACGGCTGATTTGAAACACCTTCCAGCGACGGCCTGTGTTTAAAAACGCGTTAAGGGACTTTGCGACGGCATGCTAATGTTTCCTAAATTATTAGTATCAGTGCGCCTTGAGGTCTAATCAGCAAATCGCTGCCGCTTTTTTCCCCAGACGTCAACCTTAATTTCACACAATTTGTGTCTGCACACTTCAAAAGGATGTTTACTGACATTTGCTAACCTTTATACTGAGTAAACGGATAGATGAGGCCAGCGCAGACACTTCATTTTCAGATTCTGACATTTGACAGGCCCATTTGAAATGCACATACAGCTGAGGCATTGTGCCTTAAAACACACATCTAGTTTTGACATTTCTAATTCGGTCTCGGGCCTCATTCTTAAGCAGTATTCTCCACTCCTGATTCGCAGCCTTCACTTCCTGTAGAAAGAGCTGACACGCTCCAGGCTGCACCCCCAGAAATTATCTATTTGTAATTTGGAGCTATTTTCGGCCCGGTCCTGGTTAAGTGTTGAGTCCTTGGCTGTTTCAGGCCCCATTCAAGATTAATGACTTCAGACAGGCCCTGAGCAGTGAGGGAAACAATCCGGACTGTGTCAGGCAGGATATTGCATTGACACATCCTGCGGCTGACAGCTTGTGTCTTTCAGCTGGTGAGGTGAGCACCTAGTCTGCGGAGCAACAGCCGTCATGCTCACTGCTTGACTCTCTGACAAACACAATATGCAGTACAGTATGGAATGGCCTACATTTGGTGAAACCATTTCAGTAGAATCATTGTGACAATGCAATAGATTCAGTCTCCCAAGATATTTTAAAAAATGTTCTAACATAAGTATTTATGCAAACATAGGCTCATTAAAAATGTGCTTCTGCCTACATTTTTGCACAAGTCCAAAAATGTACTTATACATACAATTCACTGCAGTTTCCAGCTGACATGAACTCTAGTGGCAGTAAAAAAACAGCAATTTGTATTCCTTTTCAGTTATGATTACAGGCGCAGATTATTAATTAATAAAGACTTATTTTTGAGTGGTATCTTGCACCTCAAAACACTTTTAACATTGTGCATGATTTGTAAACTAATACATGTTGACGTTTGCATCACATAACCAGCGCTATAAGTATGGATTTTAGTAAACTTGCTCAGTAGTGGACCCGGTACAACATTGCACTTGTGATATGAAGTGCTCAGGTAAAGCCTGTAAAACACGAGTCACGATAAAATAGCTCAAAAAGCGAGCTAACATAGCATGGACCCTGAGCCCCACCTTCAAATTCAAAATGGCTGAAACATTCAGTGCATTCCAAACGGGATATATCGCCCTCCGAAGGGCACTTTGGAGTGAAAACAATCATGGCTGCCATATTGAAGGGTCGTTCCAAACCGAAGTGCTCAAAACTGGCCACTTTAAAGTGCCCTTCGGAATGAAGGTTTTCGAAGGGTACAACTGATGGACACTTCGGGCCCCCATGATCCTTTGCACAGGGAAGTTGTTTGGAGTCACAGAGTTCGAATTCACCTATAAATGTATGTATAGTACTGTTTTTTATACTACTGAGTTAGATTTGGTACAATATACATTACAAATACATACATTACATTACATATACTAATACGCATTATATTTAACGTAAAAGACAATTCAACCCACGTACAAAAATGCGCAACGAAGGCATCTCCTTGATCGTATCGTTAAGAGGTTTTTTGACCCCTACACCCTTCATCCCTTCGAAGCTCTCACTCCGGTGGGTAAACCCTTTATTAGGGCGTAGGGATGAGCCCATCCAAATGGAACGCTGGGATTGTTGTTTACTTTTACTAATGGGGCTTTCCCACCTGAGCCTCACTTTCTGTTTCAAAGTGGCCACGTGAAATGGAGCGTGAGTAGAGGCAATAGCAGAAGCTTGTAAAGATGCAATATTAATTGTTTTAATGCTTAGACAGGACACAGAACAATGTTTGTTGTTTTACTAAATATTATTTGACTACCTGAAAAGCCTCTTTTTTACAGTTGTGAGAAAGGTGAGAAATATGTGCCTTTTCCGGAAGGGGTTCTTTATCAAGGTCTTTGTGGCACATATAATAACACATTCTCAGTGTGTTTTAAACATATGCCTCTCTCTTTTTCTCCTCCTCTCTTCTGTCTCACACTCTTTTACTTTCATTTTATTTTTCCTCTCTGTTGGTGGGATGGTGAGTGTGAGGTTTCATTGCTATATTTTAGATCGGTGGCAAAAAGTGAGCAGGTAATTACTACTATTAGCAAGCTCCCTATCACTGGCCTGTCCAATGACGTGACTAATTATTAGCGAGTGACTATTATGGCTCAAAAGTACATTATTCTTCGAGATTCTTTGGGAAAGCTGATGACATTAATACATGGTCTTATAGAGACACAGATGGGGTCTTGACTGGCCAGCCACACAAGTCAATACTTCTTACATTAAAAGGCCACGGGCTGCTGTGGGGCTTTGGCTGAAGGGACATTTTACTGGAACACTTTTACATGCTGGAAATTACACTTTCATAAGTGAGCAATGCACATAGATAGATTTCAGTGATAAAAACAGGGTGTACAACCCAAAAACATAGCATATATCGTTCTGAAATTTATAACATCATTATCTTTCTAAATTATTTAATAATTTTATTTAATAAAAATAAAATGCCATTACCCACAATATTAATTTTGCTGAATACAAAGCCCCTGTACAAGTAAAATATGTTTGTTTTATGTTTGTAAGAAAGCTATCTGTTAGCGTTCCTGTCCCCCCAAAAAAAAAAGATTGTATATATACATATGCGGTCACACATCTAGTGCAATATGCTAATTAGCCAAACCTTGATCTTGACAGCAGCATCTTTGTAAGAGTCGATGGAAAAGAGAATTAAAGAGAAAGACAAAGTAAGAAATGAAGAACTCTTGAGTAGCATAGTGCATCTCTAACACAAGCCAGGGATAATGCCTGCTGGGAAGGCCAATTTATTCTGGTGGGTGACTGTTGTGTTGGCCATGCTCTTTTTATCTGTCTCTCTATGAGTCATTGCTGAATGGCAGAGAGTGTGGATCTGTTGGTGGGATGGTGAGTGTGAGGTTTCATTGCTATATTTTAGATCGGTGGCAAAAAGTGAGCAGGTAATTACTACTATTAGCAAGCTCCCTATCACTGGCCTGTCCAATGACGTGACTAATTATTAGCGAGTGACTATTATGGCTCAAAAGTACATTATTCTTCTAGATTCTTTGGGGGAGCTGATGACTTTAATACATGGTCTTATAGAGACACAGATGGGGTCTTGACTGGCCACCCACGCAAGTGAACGCTTCTGGCATTAAAAGGCCACGGGCTGCTGTGGGGGTTTGGCTGAAGGGACATTTTATTGGAACACTTTCACATGCTGGAAATTACACTTTCATAAGGGAACAGTGTACAAAGATAGATTTTGGTGGTAAAAACATAGCATATATATAGTTTTCAAAAAGTAAATGGTGTTACCCACAAGCTTCTGAACAAGACAAATATATTTAGAATAACTGGAGAAAGCTATTTGTTAACATTCCTATCCAAAAAGTCTAGAGATGGATTTTTTAATTTATATTTTAATACATTTACAAATGCACAAAATATACAGTAGTGCATCTCTCCCATCATTCTGCAACACAAGCCAGTAAGAATGCCTGCTGGGAAGGCCAATTTATTCTGGTGGGTGACTGTTGTGTTGGCCATGCTGGTTAGCATCTCTCTTTCTCTCCGCCTCTCTATGTGTCATTGCTGTGTGGCAGAGAGTGCATGTGGATTCTGTCGAGCGCTTCCAGATGGAGCTCTATGCTGGGCAGGCAAGGCCTAGCGCAGACTATGACCACTGGAAAAGAAGATTGATTTCCTCTATGGTGTACGACATGCCACGCACCGAAGCTTCACTCTCAAGCTGCACAAAGGAGCCCCAAAACATGCTGTTTTCTCCCAAAAACAATTGGTCCATGTGCAGAGAGACCATGAGCACGGAACCGACTGTTTGTCTCCATTTCCTATGGACAGCTGGGGGAAAAAGAGCTTTTTTTGAATGCCAGCCTTGGGATTGATTTTAAATGATGTTGTTATGTGCTGTCTTTCACCCTCAACACCCATGACTGCAACTGAAAAAAATCACCAGTTTACCTTTTCCTTTACTTTCCATATAGTAACATCCATAACTAGGGTATTTATTTATTTAAATAATTGTATTCTTATTTTTTTATTATTATAATACATTGTATGTGTAATTATTTCCTAAAATAAAATAATAAAATAAAATAATACGGCACAATTTAACTGTCGATAACCCTGCTTTATTCTCTTCCTGTAGACTCTTCTTCGAGATGGCAGAAGGGAGAGCACTGTAAGCACCCTCTACATTTCAGCCTCCAACATTGAAACCGGGCAGAAGATCATCTGCCGGGCGTCCAACAAGGCCGTGCCCAATGGGAAAGAGACCAGTGTCACGATTGACATTCAACGTAAGTGATGTCACTCTCAGATTGTTTCCTTTTTCTTCATTTATTTTCACAAAGTCAGCAGTTTTCTCTGTCTTTCGTTTTGGATCGTGCTTGCTTTCCACTGAATTAAAACACCAAAATACATTGTGATACTAATCAGAGTGCTTAGATTTTCAGTATTAATGGGAGCATTGTCTGCTGGATTGTCATAATTAATGTAGATTGCCAAATCCTCTTGCGATAAATAAAAAATGTGCTGGTATTGTTAACAATTCAACATTGGCACAAAAAGTCACCACAATGTTTCTTCTAGTAACCCTTGAAAATGTAAACTCTAATCAGTTATCATGTTTTTTTCTTTAAATATTCAGTTCCAAAAAAAAAAAAAATCACATTTACTTTCACATCTCACCCACTCATTCTAGTTCTTTCTGTCTGCCCATTTAGAGGAAATCTCTTCTCAAGAAATTTCAGAGAACAATACCGTTATACTTGCATTGCTCGAAGCCTCGAACCCTCATCAATAATGTTAACTATGACTAATAAAGCAGAACATGGTATTTAGAGACCCATTACTAGTGACAGATCCGTTGTGCAACTTTATGCATGACATAAGAAGCACTTTGTGGCGCAAAAGGGATCCGGGTGCCAGGTGAGGCGCTGTGGAGCAGAGCAGATATTAAAGATGATTAACATTTGTTAGTGTTGCACCAGCTTAAATGCTTGCTTGCATGTGTTTATCCAATGCAGCAGATAGGAGATAGGGTATAGTAGTATTACTAATAGTACTATTTCGCATGAAAATAATACCGCAAGGACATGTATTTGTTTGTTTATTTATTTATTTCTCACTTTGCAGTAATGGGAATTAAATAATTACATTTCTGTGCATTACAGGATGGGTGTATTAATTAATCAATCAATCAATCCATCCATCCATCCATATGTATTTATTTATCACAAATGCAAATGCTATAGATAGATAGATAGCATTCATAGATAGAGAGACAGAGAGATAGATAAATAGACATTTAATGATAATGAAGCCTATTTTTAGGATATCATTTTCACATTATCTTCTTTTTTTCGTATTTAAGACTATATTGTATTATCACCAAGCAACAGAGTGTGAACACAGACAGGCGGAGATATACAAAACACAGCGAAATGTTCAGCTGTAAGAAATATTAGGACTAACTGTTGTATAAATTTATGACCTTCCCTATACTAATTTCTGTGTCTCCCACTCGCTCTACTCCAAATGCTCTGTAGACGCGTAGAGACGCTGAACACTCCACTGCTGTCCAGATCTGCTCCCCATTCCACCGTCTGTGTTTTAATTAAACCACGCGAGAAATCAGACCTACTGTAATTGAACTCAGCCACAGCGCAGAGAAATTTGCCAAGTCTCTGCGCTCTCTAATTTCATTACCCCACTCTTACCACCTCTCCACGGAAAGATGGAAATATTTAAAATGTATCACAGAGACGAGCCGTCGTGTTGCAAAATCCTGCGCGGTTGAAAGGAACATCCCTGGGAGAGAGGCAGGTGAATGTGGAACGGGAGCCGTGCAAAGATGATAATGAGGTTTTCAGAATTACATGCAGTCAGAGGCCCAGTCCGATTTTGAATGACTAAATGAATACCCGTCTGAGTGGGATACATTTACATCACCCTCCTGAGCTGGAGCTCTGCAAAGCATGAGACATTAACTCAGAAGAAGGGAACAAATAGAGACGGTGAATGGTAAGCGATGACGGAAAGCTCCCCCTCTGAGCATCAAACACTAGCAGGTGTTTAATGAATAAGTTATGGCGGTATCGGCAGGTGGGATGAAGCTAAGGATACAAACCCGATGCGTAAGAGTACGAGTGTTTCCACTGGCACATCCTCCAGGCCACATGGGGGGCTGTGTAGCCATGCAAATCAGTTAATATTGATGAAGGACAGCTGTCTGCTGATAAACAGCACAGATTATTCAGGGTAAAGAGAACAGCAACACACAACTGTTAAACTCACCGAGATCTTTCCAGTGGAAATTATTTAAGCGTTTAATATAAATAAATGAAGCCAATGCGTAATTACATAGAAAAGTGTGATCTCGCAAGCATTCCCTCACCTGTTCAATAATGAATGTGTTATTTCCCTCACCTGTTCAATTATGAAGGGTGAAGTGAACTTACAGTATGTGAACACAAAAACAATAGTTCTGTCATGACAACTCTCAGAGAGTTTTGCATGGTTATATACATGGCAATGTTAATGTGTTTGGTCTTGGCGGAAAATATCTGCTACACTGCTGCTGCAGCAGAGCAAGTACCGAGACTTGCTACTGCCAATACATCCACAGACATGCTGCTGTGAACATATAGGAAATACTAAAATAACTCCCATGTATAAGATACATAAAGTTAGCAGATCTATACAGGTGGAGCTGGGGAAGGTGGAGGGTTTCTGAAGCGCTGCAACTGCTACGGCAAGCACTAGCCAAGTATTTTCATGTTGAGCAGGGAGCTCATTGGTTGCTGATGTGAAAAGAAACCAATAAGCTGTGCCATGTGATTATGATTATATCAGATTGAGTTAGAACCTATCAGCCTGCGCCATCTAGAGTTTCATGGCATAACTCTTATTTATTTAATTATTTATTTATTTATTTTCTCCTAAAAAACAAGTTTCCAAAGCAATGTCCTCCACTTCTGTTTGTTTGGACCAAGGCACTAAGGTTTGGTTGGTTAGCATCTCATAAATGTTGTGGTTACCCAGCATGCTTTGCAGATTAGGTCAAATCAGACCGGTTTACTCACTAGTATGGTAAAAGTGCTAGAAATGGGTTTAGGAGAGGTAGTCATAGTTGGTTGCAGGTTTACATTTCACTTTAATATTCAATATTATGTGTGTATATTACAGTTGTTGGGTTGTATAGTGCCAAAAGTAGTGCCAGACATTTGGGAAATAACACATATTCCAAATTTCAATCCCAGACATATTTGATAATTTCTCAAAAAGAGAGATAAAAGCACACTTTATTATAAAGAGTTCAAAATCAAGGGATTTTTATTTTGATTAATAGTATGACAGTAAGTTGCCAGCCACCTCCAGCATTTTTTATAATTTTCACAAAATCCAGAATATGTTGTTGTATGAATATCTGAACATGCAATATGTAAAAAAAAAAATACAAACAACATTTCCAAATTTTTCATCTTGATATTATTTGAACTTAATACCCTAAAATTAATTAGATGCACAGATGGGCTATAATTAGATTAGTTAAGGGAATAACACATTATGTGTTAAGGAATATATGTTTTAGCAATACATTATTCATTTAGAGATTTTGATAGACAGCTCCATAGGGCAAAAACTGCCAAATGTTTAAATTCATCGCACAGACCCAAAGCGCTAGATCAAAAGCACTACACCAGTGTAACCCTTATGAAGTGAGACGAAAGCTAAGCTATAGAGTACTGCATAATGTACTCAAGTGTTCGGGTTCTGTGGTATTCGAGAAGCGGTTCGACACGGGTTGATCACGAGTGACTATTATGGTTACTTTGCTGCTCATTCTGTTTGGACAGTTGGTTCAGATATATGCAGAGTTCTGGCATGGAACTCTAGATGGCACAGTCCGATAGGTCTAACTCAATCTGACCTAATGACATCATCACATGGAACATCTGATTGGTTCTCTCCTGTATGGGTAGCCAATGAGCTCACTGCTCAACATTCAAATATATGACTAGTCAGCATGATCTCATAATAATTTGTATGTATTTTACGTAAAATGTGGTTCTATAAAACGTACATTTACGTACGTTTTTACAGGCACTAAAGCGTAAAATAATGAAGTATTTTAACAAATCCAAGCCTTTTTTCGGCGATCTGCTTGCTTCTCCATCCCAAGCAGCGAGTCCAGTGACCGTGAACAGCAAAGCCCGCGCTGACTGATGCGCTCTTTACAAATTTAGATGTTGCTGCTTCAAATGACAGGTTTTACGGCAAGATAATTAAGCGCTCATTGGCTCTCGCCTGCATTCGTCACAGATTGCGACATGCCGTGTTTCTGTGTTTGAATGATGCACGCGTGCCTTCAAGAGTTCACGGACTCGGAGTGGATCGGGAAAATTATCTGGATAATATTTTCAGCGATTAACAACATAAATTCTGCTCTGGATCACACAAACCTACTATATTCCGCCAGAGAGGACTGCGGGTGCAACACATCCTCATTTGGATTACTTTTGGTACTGCTTTTAACATTTTTGCAATAAATAAATTATTGTAATTGCATATATCTGTCTGTCATGTTTTTCTTATACTGTACAGAAATGTTTAGATTTATAAGTAGGAGTGGAATTAGCGACTATAAAAATATTTTTAATGCTGTATTGTTACTAAAATTGTTATTTTCCTGCGTATTTCAGTCATTTGGGTTTTATATCCTTTTATATTCACTATATGGGTAGGTTAATGTTTGGAGGTAGCTTAAGTGGTCTAAAAATCTAAATTGCATATGAACAAAATGATAAAAATGCATATTCGCTATAAAATGGGTAGGTTTAGGTTTGGGGGTAGATTAAGAGGTCTAAAAATCTAAATCGCTTATTGATAAAATGATAAAAATGCATTGATACGAATACCTTGATGATATAAAAGATACGTAAATATTTTTACGTTTTTTATCTAAAAATACGTAGCGATTTGTACGTTTTAAACGTTGAAATACGTCTAGATTGTACATTGTAGCATGAATAAAAACGCACAAAAGTGTACGTTTTGTGCTTGTAAATGTTACGTATTAATACCTACATATAAACATGACACCACGCTGGACTAGTACTTGCCGTAGCAGTTGTAGCTTGCTTCAGAAACCCTCCACCTTCCCCAGCTCCACCTGTATAGATCTGCTACGAGGTGATTTATGTATGCTATATGGGGGTTATTTCATGTATGGTATATATTGCAGCAGCAATATTTCTTACATGCTCACAGCAGCATGTTGTGGATGTATTGGCAG